ATTTAGTGGCCAAAGCAACATACATATATACATTTCAAACCCTAGGTAATAACCAGAGAACGGAATTCAGGGAAATTGTCTTTCTTTTCTGTTAAAGAGATACAGTATATTCGATTAAGAATGTCCACGATTTAGCTTTCCCTGATTCCATATATACACATTTGATGTTGCCTTTTATAAGATATTTGCCTTTTTTGCATACTATACCTTTAAAGTGATTATTCCTGATAATATAAATATTTAGATTGTATCAACTCACGTCGAGCGCACGTTTAGTACATTGAAGGCTGTGTTAAAGCTTGTTCTGTTACAAAAAAAAAATCAAGTTGATAATGAAGAAAATCGGCGGATAAATAAAAAAGTAATAAGTGGTCATATGAAAATGTGCAAAGATTTTTTGTATGAAAATGAGCAGGAAAGAATGTTACTCATACGCCATGTACACCTGAAATATCTCGTAAACTTATTCATAGAATAAAAAAAAATTTAATCGATTTTCGTAATCAGCGAGCAATTCTATATAGGTATTGGATATGTAGCGCCGCCCGTTGAACATTTTTCCTGTAAACCAGTGTTATTTTCAAGTTTTTGTCTATTTTTAGTGCCTTCTTTTGCATTTTTTGCTATTTCTTGTGCCTTTTCCTGCCTTTTTCGTTATTTTAATTTGCCTTTTTTTATAAGTTTTTAGTTCCTAAAAATCCGTTCCCTGGTAATAACTATAATTAAGATATAGAAATAAATTTAAGTAGAGAGATAGTTTTTAAGATTGTATAAATAAGTAGAGATGTTAAAAATACTTGTAAAATAATATTTAAATACAAAAGAAAAATACGTCAAAAAAAAAGGATTAGAAATGCAATTCAAAATTGAGCAAGTCACCTGGAAGAAGTGTTGCAACTCACATATTTCTCAAAAATCCATCGATATACAAAATTTTTTATTTTATTTTTTTTTTGCTATTTTTTTTTTAATATATTTCATACTATAGCAAAAAACATAAAAATGTTATCTCTAAACTGTGTTCAAAACTCACGACAATTCAATAAATCTTCATGCAAACTTTGAGTTTTTTAATCCGATTTTTATTTTTTATTTTTTTGAGTATAGTTTTGTAGCCCAATAAATTTTGAACGTGGTCAAAACCACAAATTTATTGCACTTAAAATTAATTTAGCTTTCTAACTTGTAGATCACTCCATTAAAACTAATCTGTTTTTATATATTTATTCAAGGAAATTATTCATGGAAAATTCAGATATTTCAACCCTGTCGTCGCTCTTCGTTGGATTGGACAGTGACCTCGCGGTTGGCCAAAGCTTACTCACACCAGACGCAAATTTACAGATCTTCTAATGCTCTTCCCACTTTTTCCGCTTATGTACGTTCACAAGCTGCCGAATCTCTGCGTTGAGATCCTTGATACGGGGATTTCCGGGATCGGCCTGACGAAGGTTATTACGCTCATCAGGTAGAACAGCCGCTTCAGCAGGGAAGTTTGGACGGGGGTCCGTTATGCATCCTGCTGGTACGAAGCGAGCTGCAGCAGCAGAGACAACCCTGCGGAACTTACGTTCAACAAATTAGATGTCGATTGGTGTGGGGAGCGCAGTGAAGGTGCTCTAAGGTGTTAGTAAAGTTGATATAGATCCGGTGTTCCGCGGAAGCAAAGTCGACAGGTTTATCTATCGAGATAACAATGGGCAAATGGTCTGATGCCAAGGTTAGCATAGGTCGCTATGATACGCTGTTTATGAGACCAGCGCTGACTATTGTTATGTCTGGCGATCTGCGTCCTGGTGGGTGCGTTCGTCGTTCATTGTGCAGAATGTCGAATCGTCTATCTGTTCAGCCAAATCTGTTTGCCTACGATCGTTTGACAGGCTTGAATGCCAAAGATCGTGGTGCGCATTAAACTCAGCAACTATCATACGGTTTTCACCTCTGAGGAGCGCACCTATTTCAGGGTGATATCCTGCCGGGCAGATAGCAATGACCTGAGATTCAAGGGTGGTATCCCTGCTGTCGATGTCTGCTTCAATAAGACGATACTGCACGGTGTGGTGCGTGATGAACGCTACGCCACCACGATTATCTTGCTCGCGAACTCGACGGGTGTACGGCGCAATTCAATAATATTGAATTGTTGTGCAACTTCGTTTCTTGGACCGCAGCTATCAATATTTCATGCCTCCCATAAAGACGGTTATCTCCTCTATCTTGCTCTGAAGTCCGTTACAGTTGAATTGAAGGAGACGTGTTGTTATGCGGGATGTGAGGGATGTGTGTTGCCTTGCCGCCATTCGCTGTGTGCGCTACTGTAGAGTGTGCCGTCTTGTGGTGGTTGTGGGCGGCATCGCAATTGGGATTTGCGACCGTGCAGCACAACACGGGCCCTCGAAGTTCCTTTTCCAATCTCGCGTGGTGCACTTGACTGATGTCACGTTACGGAATATCCTGGTCTGACACACCGTGCAGATTGTAGGAGGAACCAGAAGTTGTTGGCGGCGGCGTGTGGTGGTGGTGCTGCTCTGGTGCAATGGGGTTAGCCGTGAAGGCTGCTCTGTTTGAGCAGCAGGAGCCACAAATGATGTGGTCCACTGCCGATGAGTCCGTAGGTCTGAGCAGACTCTGAGGTGGCTCCACCCGTTGCAAGCATTGCACTTGACTAAGGTGGAGTTGTGGGTTAATCGTCTCTGGCATACACAGCAGGTGTAAATTCCTGGCCCTGGATTTGACTCGATGCCAGCCCTGAGCAGAAGAATACGTAACAAATGTAGCCCTAAAGACGAACAACTTGCCAACCTAAACGGGGTTAGATCGCCGAAACAACAGCCCTAGGTCGGTAAAACCCGAGTCATTCCGGCAGCTGTCGTGGGAATCAGTAAACATACGCTCTGGCATGGCGTTACAAAAAACCGAAGTGCATTTTGACTTCGATTACAAAATCGAAAAACTACGAATATTTGTATAAAAGTTTTTGTAGTAATATTGGAAATGTTTAAGGTTAATTTTCCAATTTTTTAAATGTGGAAATATTTTCTGCTTTATGTTTAATCAGGTGAATTATCCGACGTGACGTTATCTGGCGTTACGTTACTAAAACTTCCATTGAAAAATTTTAACATTGTTCTTGAAAGAATTTTTAACAGTTCCACCAGCGGTTCCATTTTTTGCGAATCTCCGTCTCACTACGTTTCAACTAAACATGCCAAATGTGAAACAAATTAGAGCATAAATTCTATTTTTCAAAATATCTCGACCCTTGCACCACCTAACGAGACCATTTTTGGCAAAAATATTTCTGCTTACATAACCAAATCAGCCAAATCGATCTATAAAGAAGTTAGATATGTATGTACAGGACTTATATTTTTTCTTTGCGGTAAACTTTCGGCTGGAATCGCCCATATGATATAGTTGTGGAACAAATATTGTTAACGAAGAGATATTCTGCCGAAATCCGCAATAACATCTGCGTTTTGCTAACTTTAGTCCTACAGTTGCCAAGCCCATTGTTAGGGGTTTGTCGCCTTAAAGAAAAATCTTGCCGTACAAATATTATACCTGGATAGGTATTCTATCGGAATCTGCAATAAAATTTAAATTATTGCAAAAAGTCGATTTTTAACACCTTACTAAATATACCTCAAAATAAGTTTTCGAAAACATATTACAAAAAATTGTTTGATTCTCACAAAATAAACCATTTCGTCATAAAGAAAAATGTTTTAAAAATAGTCCTTGAAAAACGCCCCTTGTTTAACCCTTTTCCAATAGAGAATTAAACAAGGATTACGATGGCATAATTTTAAATCCCTAATTTACTAGTCTTCACTACGAAAATTAACTACAAAAAGTTCAATTTTAATAGCTATGTTAGCTTTAGGACAATCTTGACCATCTTATATATAGAAATGTTAGGCCCGTTTCTTTAGCTTTAATACGACGTTAAGATGAAGTCTACGATGAGCTGAACCCGAGTTATAACGATTTGAAGAAGTACATGATTAGTCAGAATCACGAAAAAATCAAAATTTTACAGATCATATCTCCGAAGAAAAAAAAGAAATTCCTCGAACACGTGTTAGATTATTTCATATATAGAGCCCATACAAAAAATTTTAAGCCAATCGAAAGTGTGACATCAAATTTGGTGTCCGACATGAAAAAGAAATGTATGTTTACATTTGAATCGTTACCGTCGTAAGCGACAAAATTATAAACGACAGTCGGGTCTACGTAACCGGAAAGACTCAGATTTATATCCGGCCAGGGATTGTCACTCCAGCAACAGTCCCCAAAAACTCTTGGGGATTTCGTACGCTGCTACAACAACAACAACAAATTATAATTTTGCAAAAATAGAAAGTTTGTTTAATGACGCACATACGGTTGTTGTTTTAGCGGCACAACTAAGACCCGCCTAGGTCAGTTTGTCCATCATGTTCATCAATCGTTGTCGTTAAGCTCAACTAACGGTAGGCCCAGGAAACGAGCTGTTTCGACGGTGTCGGACCAAATTACATACCTCAGCATATAAAGCACATAGGGTCATTCATTTTGGTTTCCTACTTTTTCGGCATAGCTGTATTCAAGAAACTTGCATTCAAAAATAAAAATATATACATACACACATACATACATACTTAAATATTTTAAGTTAAAGAAACAGTTCATACAATCTATTTAAATAGCTTGAGACTTGAATTTACACGTTTTTTGTTAAAGGAAATATTTTTTTTTAAGCTTTCATATACTGGATTAATTTTTATTTGAAAATTCATTATAAAATGCATAGAAGAAACTTACAATGAAACTTGGAATTTTGGTGGTGCTTGCGCCCTCCCCCGCCCGTACCAGCGTACGCCAATGTAGTATGTAGTGTATAGTTAAGAGCAGTTTCAGCAGAGTTGGAAAGTAATTTTTAAAAAACTCCTAAGGCCTCATATTTCTTGAAACTTATACAGTGAAAAAAGAAAATTAAATTATTACACACAGCGTAAATTTATAAATTTTAACTTTATTTATTCTAAGTTTTTTATATACACCAAATACAACCTTTAATTTGCATTACTCAAGCCGTTCATCATTTTCGCGATTTACATATGACAATAGAAACTCAATTTTCTTTATTAAGTGTATTAATTTCTTTCGATCTAACTCAACGCTTCCATTACAAATAGCGAAAAGTTTGTGAAAGTCACTGTTAGGCGTTGACTTATTACGCTTTAGATAGTTTTTAGCGCACACCATCAAGCGGCATATGTCACTGAGCGCTGCCAGTTTGTAATAGCAGGATGACATCAACGAGCGCGCATCAGATTCTAGCTGATCGCGACTTGTCGTTAACGAAGTAAATTCATTATTGGCTGATACGCCAATATTTTTAGTAGTCAACGCTTCCATTTCAACAGACACAATAGCATCATCGACATCTTCGAAATTGGTGCCAAATTTTAGATTTAAGCATAGATTTACTAAATGTGAAACGGCTTCGGTTGGGCTGGTAGAGTGCTCACCATTGAAATAGCGTACCATGCAACCGTATGAAGTCAAGATATTCCAAAGATTATAATGCAAGCAACTTGAAGGAGGCTTTTTGCAAATACTGGAAAACTTTGGAATTTGTTTTTCTATTTCAGGTACATTCGAATTGTCGGCTTGATCGCTTTTGTCACAGCTTACTTCTACAATTTTTGGGGCCTTTGATTTCATCCACCAGGGTTTATAACTAGGCAATAATTTCATTATTTCACCACAATCAACCATCTTTTTAAATTCCGAGCGCTCCTCTGATGTCAATCTATGCCATATTTCGTCAGCATCATTAATATCAACATCTTGTAAGCGTGTCGCGATATCTTCAACATCTTCCTCATCATCCTCATCCAAATCTACTTCGGCGCAATTTTCAGCATCCACTCCCTCGTCGTCAGAGTCTATTGGATCATTGAAATCAGGTTCGAGACCAGCTTCGCTCTCATGCATTCGGGTTAAAATTTCATACATTTTTTTCATATCATCCCGTGAATTGGGTTGAGATGTGGTTAAGTCTTCTTGTATACAAGACTTATAAAATTCTTCAGAACATTTCAAGTGCTCCGGTGCTTTGTAGCACGCCACTGAACAATACAAAGCGTTACACTTAGGACAAGTATACTTAAATTTATCCTTTTCACAGCTGAAAGAAATAATTGAAATAAAATACATTAATCGGTGTTTTACATAAAAGATAAGCAAGCTTACAATTGGCAATACGTTGAAGCCATTTTTGTTTTGAATTTTTGCAAGTAAAAGCAAAACCGTGTACAACGATCAAAGTAAACAAATTATGGATTTCGGAAAAATATCGATGCATCGAATAATCGATGCTTTGCTTCGATGCTTCGAAAATTTTCCACGCGCTATATAAATAGTCGATGTAAGAAAATATGTAAATAGGTGCGTAAAGTGACTGCTTGAGAGTTCAAGCAGGATTTTGTGAAACAGTTTTTGCTTCGTAGATTTTTACTAACAGTTCTTTTACGAGGCTCGTGAATTTACGAGCTTTACGAGGTTTACAAAGCTTAGACGAGTTTAAAGGAAGACCCCTATTGTAGTTTTTCAATTGTTCAAAAAAGAGAAGTGACATTTACCAAAATATTTAAAAGGCTTGAAAAAGTTCCGTCAGAAAATTAATAAGCTCAGTTGCAGTAATTTATTTACAATTTTGTACAATTTCGCTAATAACATATTTTGTTGTCAAACATTATATGATAAATTCGATTCATCGCAAAATATCGAAGTACATTTCGATGCATCGAATCAAAGAAAACATCGATGTATTTTTGCCACTGAAATTTCTAAAAAAAACTTATATATTTTGACAGTTTTTAAGACGACCTCTGATGGATAAAATAAAAGTGTGCTTTCCACGAAAGAGCTGCCAAGTCTACGTATGAGCAGTGATGCCGTATTCACGATTTAATCGCTTTTCTCAAAGAACATAAATGTTTAAGAAGTGACAACTCAGAACGTAAATCAAATATGTTTTTAGACTGGATGAAAAGAGAAGGCTCGCTCCTGATGTTCCCACTCGCTACAATTATAACATGTTGTCTCTTCTTATAGATTTAGGTTCTTTGTCGGTAGGTCAAAGAACGTAGATAACAAGAAGGGACAACTCGTTATAATTGTGGCGAAATTGCGCATCAGGGGCGTGCCTTATCTTTTCATTCAAGCAAAAAACGCACTAGGGCAAAAGAGAAGCCCCTGTTGCGCACTTTCGCTACAATTATAACGAGTTGTCCCCGCTTGTTATCTACGTTCTTTGTGAGGGCCACAAAAATTCTAAAATGTAAAATTGAAGAAATCACAGGCAGCCAAATTAAAAGTGGACATTTATAAAAATAACTTATCTCGAGTTAAGACATTGTTCTTCTAAACTTCAAATGACAGTACTTCTTCAAACTCTTAAATTAAGATTTTAGTTTAACAAAAAATGAAATAAACATGCATTATTTGCATAAATGGCCCATGGTATTATGATGTTAAGTCAAAACTTCTAAAATCACTTACATAAGTGTTTTATCACTAATGCCATTTGACAACAAGGTTGCCTTCACGAGTTTCGGTCAAAAATTTTAAAATTTTTGTCAACCGAGCGCTTACCATGTATTTACAGTTGACTCCAGATACTCCAAACAAGTATTCATTTACGATCTTTGTTAAAACTAACGAGTTGTTGCTTCCTATACTTTTACGTTCTTCGTTGCTTCATATACATTTACGTTCTTTGTTACGTTAGGTAATAAGTACGCCTGCGTACGGGAACGGACCTCATGTGAACGTCCTGTTGCTCGTGAGAATGGCAACCATGACGAAAAATTCCAATGCGCATGGTTTGACAGATGACATTTGGCAAATCACACATTCCGAATAGGCCGATAAATGTGCTTTTCTATTCGATGTGATTTCTTTACAAGTTTTGCTTGAGTCGGGAAAAGTACTTAGGGTGCGTTTGGGACCGTAGACAAATTGTTCAACTTCTCGGTCGTTTATAGAATATTGCCAAAATAGCGCCACCAACGCCAACTAAACGTGTGAAGATGTCGAAGGCAAGTAGCAGTGTTGTCAACGGCAGCAACTATGAGACATTGCATCAAGGGCGCCTCAATATGTACAAATCCAAGGTTGCTGTCGTCCTCGGAGCTCAATGGGGCGATGAGGGCAAAGGTAAAGTGGTTGACATGCTGGCACTGGAAGTGGACATCGTTTGCAGGTGTCAGGTAAGCAAACCGCACATTAACAATATCTAGAAGAGCGGAATCACCCAATACATATGTCTACCTATTTTACCATATCGTACACTCACCAGTAATCACGCGGGCGAGAATAATAAAAGGAATTACATATGTGAAATAAATACATATTAAATTTCCTGTCCGTCTGTGCCACTAAGCTCGCGAAATCTTAAAGCCTCTGAAAAGAAGAATAAGTCAACGTGAATACTTACAACTTTCCGCTTACTCTTAAGTGCCTGGACCGTCTGCTACCTGCTGATACATTCATTCATAAGAAAAATGTACACACGATACCTGTACATAGTCAATGCATGTGATTGCTTGATCAAATTTTTCTGTTCTTGCATTTTCGGCTTTTCTATGTTTACATAACATCACATTTTTTGCGTTTTTCTCATTTCATATGAGTGGTGAATAACCGTCAATTGTGATTCATTTTTGCCGCGCACTTCGCCTGTACGTCGTCCATATACATAGCTATGTACTTGTGCTTGTATTTTTCTCTTTTATTTATTTATGTGCATATATATGTAAGAATCGTGTGCAAGTCACATATATTAGGTATGTACATATTTATGTATGTATATTATTTATACAAAGTATCGCATCACTCAGGTTTTTGGTTATAGACAATATTTTTCAGATATCTCGCCAAGCTATGTAGTATATATGTATACATACAATTTTTCTTTCAATCAAAAAGAATCAAGCGTAGAACTAGTTTGGCGCTACAAAATGTTTCCTTAGGTCCAGCCTAATTGATAATAATAGTAACAATATTGCACAGTAACCATTTACAAAAATTGGTTCCAAAGTTAAAGGAAAAATCCCAAATATTTGCAAGCCAAAACTATGTAGAATTAAAATTGCTCTTTAAGAAAAATTATATAAAATTCACTTAGTACTAACCGAATCCTACATCGTTATTATTAAATTAGTTAACACTTCAAAATGTTGCTGCTATCACTTGGCAAATTCATGTTCAAATTTTAAAGGAGAGATTGGACCAGTTAAACATAAACATTCCTAGCTATTGAAAGTTACTCCCACAAACTGTTTATATATTTTGCAAAATTTTTATTAAAACAACGTTCAGTGTTAAAATGTAACCTCATTCTAGTTTTTGTCTTATGATAATTACCTTTAGCTTTGTTACAAATTTATATGAATTATTTCTGTGGTTGCCTTTGTGGTTGTTGTAGCGGCTTACTTAACCGTACCTAGATCGGATTGCTGTTATTCGTTGTCGTCGAGCTCAACAAAAGGCAGGCCCAAGAAATGTGCAACTCTGACTGGGTTGGACCACTATCAATTAGGCTGGAAGGAAAAAATTATCTTCAGCTTAATGTTAAAGAAATTGTAAATTTTTTTTGCAGCGCCAAATTAGTACTATGCTTGATTCTTTCTATTTTATTCTCATTATAATCAGTACCATGCAATAGTAAATTTTACATTTTTACAAGCGACATAGTGTGTACATACATATCGGCGGCTGAGTGGAAGTTCGTTCTATCTGGGAAACGCCCTATCTCAGCAAATGGTTAAATGGTTATCTCCAAATTCTGAAATAGGGCGTTTCAACCTTTTGCTGAGATGGTGCATTTTCGAAACGCCGGACGAGATAGGGCGATCTTCCACCCAGCCGTAGATATGTAATTATATATATATAAGGTTGACACTGATACACCACGACAACTAAAGATAAACTCCTTTTTGGTCAAAACTTTTAAAATGGGCTTAAAGAAATTTTAAAGAACCGCAAAGTAGCCTGACTTGCTCTATCCATGTTCGAAATAAAACAATTGAGGGTCCTGTGTATGCAGTTGTTACAATTTAAATTAACGTTTTTTATTTAGCATGTGTATATAGCACGTTTAATAATACTAATAATTTTATTTTTAATATTTTTATTGAGTTTTGTACCACGATTTTTTATTAGGAAAAATTGAAAAGGCAACAAAGTCTAAGCGGTAGAAGTTATAGCAGCTATTTCGGAGATCACCACATCTCTTCATCAGACTTCTTTTTTCTAGACTTAATCAAGTTGCTATGTCGACTCCGAACGGCAATTCTATTTTTATGAGAAGCGTTTTCATAACAGAAATACACTCGGAGGTTCGCCATTGCCTGCCGAGCAGCGACCGCTGTTAAGAAAAAAACCTTTTTTCTACATTTTTTTCAATGTTGGTCTGAATAAAAAATTGGTGCAAATTTGTCGAATTTTTGTATAAAGTTTGCAAAGGAGTGTTTGATTTATAACTAGCCAGGCTTTTTTAAAAAAATATTAAATATAAAATAAACCATGGAAATACAAATAACAAAAACCCTTCAAAGTAATGCGAATCTATTAATTCTGCCGCCAGTGTATATGCTATTCGGATTCAGGGAAGGCACTTTCGTAGATTTTACGAAAATTCGGACTACGATAAATTCAGTGATAGCCCTGAGTACTAAAAACGCTTATTTAATACTTAATGTAGCAACCTTACTTAAAGTTACTTTTAAAAACACTTACAGAAAGGCTTGTTGGGTATTTTTGACTATTTAAATGTGTGAGCTGAATGTGTTTACATACAAAAAAAAAAAATTTTTCAGGCAAAATTTTTGGAGCGTATCTGTTGGACTGAGACCAAAAATTTTTCTAAAAATTCCGAATAAAAAGTTTAAAAATTTTGTGAAAATTTGTCGATTTTTTATAATTTTTGTTCAAAGTCTGAAAAGTGGTGGTGTTTGTTGTATAACTAACTATTTACCAAGGCTTTTATAAAAAATAATACTAAACATAAAATAAACTAAAGAAATATAGCTGAAATTCTTAAAAGTACGACGAGTCTATACTTTCTGTCGCCAGTGTACTTTGAGTGCATACGTTGGTAGCAATTCGGAATCGGACTACCATGGATTCTGCGATAGCCCAGATAAAGTTTATTTTAAGTTTTTTCAAATGAACATTTCATAAGTGTGGAGAGCGACTATTTATAAATCACCTAATTTTAAAAATAAAATGCAGATTTTTATGACAAAACCAAGAAAAAATACTTTATTTTTAAAATTTATTATAAACTTATATTCATACGCTTATAAACAAGGTGGCGCACAGGGGTACAGCCCCATACATTTTTTGGAAAAAATTAGAAGGAATTGACATAGAACCTAAATTTTTTTGCATACAACACTTACGGACATAAATCAAGAAAAAAATTGGCGTGATCTATTTATTTTAAAGTATACCTCCCATACAAACCTCTAACCTAATATTATTACTAAACATAAAAAATGGGAGTAATCGGTTTATTTTAACACATAAAAATACCCTAAATGCCATTATTACTTTATAAGGTTACGTTAAAAGCAGGGACATAACAGTTATAAGATTTATCAGAAAAACGTTAGGCAAATATCACTTTGTTAGGCCAAACTATTCAAATATAAAAATTGAATATTCAAAAAATTTGATTTTTTTCCGCCGAAATACCACTGTGTGCCGTTTCGATTATATGTATTAAGGTATCCACACACTTGTGCGATGCTGTCGGTGCGAATCTGTTCCGACAAAAATTACAACAATGCTATCATCAATCACTTGTGCGATTTTGCGAACATTCACACATTCCCTTTTCGTTGTGCCGAAATTGCAGACTGCCGGGTTTTGAGAACCAATCAATAGACGAATTTTGTAAAGTTTAAGCAAAATTAACGTAAGAAAACGAATCATGTTTATTGTAGAAATGCTAAAAATTAAATTTGTTGATGAAAAATATTTTCATTTGTTTATAAAATGAAATTTGTAGCTTCAAAAACAATGCGGCTCCGCTCCGACGGAATCGCACAGGTGTATGGATGCCTGTACGCTTTTTTCAAGCGTATTTTGAACCACAAAAATATGCGTTTTGTAAGTTTTATGTTTATTTTAGTAAACTTAAAAAAAAAAACGTACTTTAAGTTTATTTTGCTTGTTGGGTACTTACAAATTCATTAGAGCCCACTTATACAAGTAACAAAATATTTTTCAACGTGCATTAGCAAGTTGCCCTTTTCATTTCTTTACAATTTGGTTTTCAAACATACTACAGCTATTCGTTGGATACATTTGCCAGCAAAAAATCTTCGGACTAAAACTGGTAACCTCCGACAAAGAGAGAACCTTAATTACTCTATTATTTGTCCATTCATTTGCAAGAGAATCAAGTACGTGATTCGATTTCCAGTTAATTCTGGTAATTTGGAGAACGCAACAAATTATTACTGTGCGATTAAAACTGGATGTTACTGATATATCATCTAAGAACGTTATGTAATTTGCTATTTAATAGTCCTTAATTGCTCTCGGAATATAATACATCTTTCGATTTGCAACCCATGTGAATAAAGTATAAACAAATAAGATTGTTAACTCACGCGTAGATACTTATTAATCTTATCTTATCCGGAGGTGTGATGTGTGCACATATGTCTAGCTGCATACAGGCAGGCAATGCAAATTTCACAGATACATAAGTATACATTTTATATATGTACTTAACATTGTAAACGTAGATTATATACAAATATTACTATGCTATAAACGAACTGCCATTATTTATATACATATACATATACACATGCCCATAACCATCACTTGTTATCAGCTTAAATGGTGCCAGCTCCCAACTTCTATTTCAATAGTCATACATCGATAAAATATCCCTGCAAGGTATGGATGTATTGATGATGTATATATGTATATAGATATGTATAAACTGCAATGAGAATGTCGAATTTGGGTACACACTTTCGTTGCATTGAAACCTGTCGGGACCGCAAGAAGAGATTTTATGAATTATAAGGTGGGTTTAGCACTAAAATACATACATATGTATATTTCGTTGCAAAGTGCGCGATCGGCGATTATTCACATGTTACATTTTTATGCAATCATGCAGGCCTCTACATAAATATCGCTAATTTACTAAAAAAAACTGTCACAACTCAAAAGAGGAGATTCTTCAGCAGATGCGTTTAAAATTTTCATTTTAATTTCAATTATTTAATATTTTCATTATGTATTTTTTTTTTAATAATGTCGGAACTACGGTATAAAATATATATATTTTTTTTAATTATCAATCGAAAATGACCTATGGTCCTTTAAAATTGTTGCAAAATTACGAAAAACTCCTAAAGTTTTAATAAACTTAATTCTGCTTGGGAGTACTTCGATACATCTTCTCGCCTAGTTGTGAAGCCAAGAAGTAATACATATATCTTTTATATTAGCAATTGTAGTATTGGCAGGCTTTCTGGCCAAAATACTTTGAAATGTTTTTTTTTTTTTTAATGTAAGTATATATGTGTGTAGAACTCTTTCACAGTTGTTGTAATTGTAATTTTCAAACCTTGCATTGTCAAACTTTTTGTTTGAAGCTTTAGTATACCTACATATTAGCAAATAACTAAAATTTGCTTTATGAACGCCAAATCTGTTCGGATTTCTTCAAGCTCTAGCAGTATATACATACATATCTATACTTGCATTGTATCAAGGCGCATTCAGGAGTATAACAACTAGTGTTCGACCGAGCCTTCGAGTCCGGATTCGGTTACCGAACAGTTCGGCCATGAAGTTCGGATTCGATTCGGTTTCGGCAAAAATTGGCGAGTTATTTGGTCGAAAAACTGTAGAGAAAATTTTTACAAATTATAAAAATTTACATTTCTTTAAATTTGAGTGCCTCTGTAGCGTTTCTGGCCTTTCATTTTATTGCTTTTTTATGGCAAATTTTTTATTTCTTGATATACATGCTTGATCGTGTAAATCCCGCTATTCGACTTTTGGAAATGAACTCCGACTCCGAACGGCGATTGTATTTTTAAGTGAAGCTGTCATGGCAGAAATACACTCGCAGTTTTGCCATTGCCTGCCGAGAGCGACCGCTAATAGAAAAACACTTTTTTTGTTTCTTTATTTTTTGATGTCGTGTTTAACCGGGCTTGAACCCAGGTCCTGCGGAGTGGCAGCGCGCATTTCTAACCACTACACCACAGCGGCCGCCATTGCTCTATAGTGTTAATTAAAACCGTATCTTTACAGATGCAGTGGTTCAAAGCAATTTGATTTGGGAATTTTATAAGCGGGAATATGTAGAATGGAGGAGCTTGGATCAGATATTCGAAGGTAATCTCGCTGGGTACATCGTGTGTACTTTTACTGAGTAAAAGTACTGATTTTTTCAAGCTATGTAATTTTTACTCTAAAAATTTCGGGGTCGGTTCGGTTTCGGCCGAACTTCAAGAAAAAAGCCGAGTGTTCGGTTTGGGTCAAAAATTCGAATTCGGTTTTTTTTTTCACTTTTATTTCAACATATTTTGATTAAAAGAAAAATACTGATAAAATAAAATTTTTTCACACAAACAACAAAAAATATAATCGATAATCGCATGAGGCTATTGTCTGAAAATTTTAAAATGCACTTAGTGACATTGCTACTATGATAGCTCGGCCCAGTAATCATAGTCAACTTATGTACAGTAGACTGCATCATTCCCATACAAAAAAAAAAATCGGTACTGTCAGAACACCTACAACCGATAACTCGAGCAAAAATTGAGATATCTAAACAAAATTTGGTATATAGGTTTCCCCTTGCTCGAAAAATTCAAAAACTTTTGATATTTCACTAAATATTGGATCCAAATTTTTGAAAATCAATATGTGAAGTAGAATTTTGGTACAAAAGAATATTATCATGAAGGTTTTGAAAAATGGGCGCTTTCCCGGGGGAACTGTCGTACAGCAGTATCGAGAGCATGTGGCAAACCCCATAAAAAGGAAATATTAAACATGCGTTATGCGTTAAGTTACCTGAGAGCACAAAGGTTCTAAAACTCTTTTTTTTTTAGTTTTTGATGCAGAATGAGAGATATTGGGCATGTTCGAGGCACGTAATAAAAGTGGCAATACTGCAGCACTGATGTAAAATTTGCAATACTTTTGCAACTTCCGAACTGATAACCTGTTGCTAAAAAATCACACCGAACGTGATACTTTAATAAATCGTGGAATATTGCGGTTGTGATTGCATCTCGAACAAGTCCATTTTTTCCAATTTCGTATAATTCAAATGGGTAAAAGTCGGAAAATCCATAGCTTTAAAAGAAAATGTTCTAAGTGCACTGAAGTAACGTTACATTAGCTCTTTATTTAATTTTTATGTAATATACATTTCACCACACCATAAATATTTAAAATTATTTTTAATTATACCGCAAATGAAATTGCTAACCTCTCTTGATTTTTTATATTTTTGTAAAAAAATTGCGAAAAGAAATTACGATAAAAAGCTCTGCGTATATTGTGAAAAATTCTCGGTGTCCATACTTTTATTCGTCACTGTATATTTATACTATTTTCCGTTTCGGTGTTGTGTCATCTTCGGCGTCATTTTTATTTCTCTGACCTTTTAACCAATTGCTTTATAATTAATTCCAATTATCACGAAAGTTTTTTTCATATATGTATGTGTATATTTGCATATCTTTTTTTTCAGGGAGGAAATAATGCTGGTCACACTGTTGTAGCTAATGGCACAGAATTTGATTTTCACCTGCTTCCTAGTGGCATTGTCAACGAGAAATGTATTTCTGTGATCGGTAAGTGGAGTATCAAATTGTGATATATGTATGTACATATGTATATAAGTGCATACATATTTAAGAGAAAGTAAGAGCATACATATTATGTACGTATGTAGATAATTTTTTTTTTCATTTAAGTTCCTGCGTGTTTTAAAATTTGATCTTGAAAAAAGAAAACTTGGCACTTCTGTTTTTCAATGTCACGCACACTATGACGGTATTATTTCATTGAAAGAAAAGAAATGAGAAATGAACATGCCAACACACACTCGGAACAGAGAAATACCTCATTCATTGTCTCGAAGTGATTCTAGTTTACGTCGGCTATTCCCTCAGTTTACGGTCATGGGCATTATGTGGGTTGGACTTTTGATTTTAGAAAATTCAGTAGGAATTTTGTGTGCCAAAATGCATTTCGTGAGCATGTATGTATGAGTGTGTGTTTGTACATACATTTTCTGAAGATGCAATTGCCAAGCATCAGAGTTGAAGTGTACGGCCAATTACCTTTTAACCAATTTATTATCTGCCATTAAACAAAAATTTTAATTTTAATCATTTCAGTTGCACCGTTTTCAGTACGGAATCGTGATATAAATGCATTATACCAATAAATACTTTGTATCTGTGAATATTTATTATATAATAAACATCGTTGATATTGTCCCATAATTGAAGTAATTATTACGGTAACAGAGTAATTTTTTTTTATTTGAGTACCACTTGTCACGCATATCACCAAATTAACATACATTTGTAAGCCCGCGTACTTAAGTACATTGCAACCTAGCACATCTATACATTAGGGTGGTCCAAAATTTTTTCCACAGCCACCCTCTAGAATTGAAGAATATCGCAAATAGGAGACCCGTATTTTTCTAAATATTTTGAAATCGGTTAACTTTTAACCGGGCCACCGGGACCTTGAAGTTTTCCATATATTTCATATCGGGGAAATATTTTTCGTAGAATTGTTATAGAGTCGTTATAAATAAATAATTTTTGGTTGAATACAAAAAAAATTTCATTCAAGAAATTTGATTGCAAAATAATTACTGTAAAATCTAATTCATGTAGTTGAAGTACTGTTAAAAGAGCACAAATTAATAATTAAAAAAAAAAACAAAAAAAATATAAAAATATTACTCTTCAAAAATCTTCAAACAATAAAATCGTGACACAAATTTTACTTTAAAATGTTACCAACAACTTTTTCATAACCGATAATCTCATCTCTTATTTACAAAATTGAGTTATTTTATGTGTTCGTAACAACATCACGCACGTTTTAAAAAATAGTAAAATTTTAGCGTTAACTTATCATCATAATTTTATTGTTAGAAGATTTCTGTAGGGAAAGATTTTATTGCAGTTCTCAAAAAGAAAAAGATATTTTCCCCATATAAAATAGGTGGACAACTTCAAAGACCCGGCGGCACGATTAAATATTAACCGATTTAAAAAAAAAAATACGGATCCTCTTAATTTCCGTTTTCTATAATTTTCGGGGGTTGGCAGCAAGAAAATTCCAAAAAGTTAATACAAACGATTTTTAGACGACCCTAATGTACATACATGCATACATATGATGTGCATACATACCTACATACATAATTTTATACAAGTTAATATTCAGAAGATTAAGTAGTTTGCATTCAACTGTTTAATCAATGATTCGTGCATTTGCTAAGTGCCACTACGGCTTCCAAAGATGTGGCACCGTCTGCGAATGTCACAAGACGTAATTGGCGAAAAAACTAGAGGTATAATTTTTTTCGGTAAAGAACAATGCTAGGGGGGTGAGCGCATTAAAATTCCCACTTTATTTATTTTTTACCACCCAAATATACACCCTGCTTCACTTAAATAGGCACATTGTTTTTAGTATAACTTTTGTATTTCTGAGAGTGGAAATCAAAAAAACTAAAATTAACCAAAATTCCATCACATGTAATGAAAGGGCATATATTTTTTGAACGTTATAGACGTTAAAGTCATAATTCTCAAGCCCTAAGTAAAATTAAAGCTAGTATCAAGTTTCAGCGGGATCCCGGCCTTTTTAAGGTCCCGCAAGTCTCGGCATTCTTGGCAAATAATTCCGGGATTTTCGAGAATTGTAATTTGCACTGATGGTCATTATAGAAACTTTATTTAATAATTAAAATTTTTTATATAAATAGTCAATTTTAATTTATTTAATACTCGCATCAGACCACCTGCCTATAGTCATATCGTCAAATAAGGACCACCGAACCTGAGTCAACTTCATCAAAGTTGATGGAAACGGCTTCGCGGACGTTACCGAGAGCAGCATCGCGGTCCTTTGCACACCCACAAATGCCAGTTCGGCAAGGTAGGGACCTTAATTTTAGGATTCGGCAACTGTTAAACCAACATAATCGGAAAAAGTGGGAGGAGTATTTTAAGACCAGAGGCGAAGTTCCACTCTGGTATGATTAAGCTGTAATCAACTGTGAAGTTGCTGTCTAATCCAATGTGACGTGACGCCAGAGTGGCAATCTCATTCGATGGTTACGCCTCGTCGTACCCACCAGCAATTCACACTGCACCCTTCAGCGGATAAGGTGGCCATCGGGAAGGCGNATGTCAACTTCATCAAAGTTGATTGAAAGGGCTTCGCGGACGTTACCGAGAGCAGCATCGCGGTCCTTTGCACACCCACAAATGCCAGTTCGGCAAGGTAGGGACCTTAATTTGAGGATTCGGCAACTGTTAAACCAACATAATCGGAAAAAGTGAGAGGAGTATTTTAAGACCAGAGGCGAAGTTCCACTCTGGTATGAGTAAGCTCTAATCAACTGTGAAGTTGCTGTCTAATCCAACGTGACGTGACGCCAGAGTGGAAATCTCATTCGATGGTTACGCCTCGTCGTACCCACCAGCAATTCACACTGCACCCTTCAGCGGATAAGGTGGCCATCGGGAAGGCGACAGCCTCCAAAGCCATTGGACCCGACATAACTCGCATGTTGGTGCCGAAAAATACGTATCCGCCGGGAGTAGCATATCTAACCAAGATTCTAAAGACTCAAAATATCTCGTGGCCTGAGCCGAAACCGCCTATACGAGAGCACTCCCTGGGGCGTGGCACCTGTCAAAGGCGTTTGACACCGTCTGACAGTGTAACCCCTAACCACCTACCAACAAATGTCTCGCCGCATTTCCACTAAACATTTCAAGTTGAAACAAACTTAATGGTTTCTAATGCTGAATTTCCATCAGGCGTTAAATTATATTTTTTCTTTAAATAAATGTACATATGTACATAGGTTTTGGCATCACAGTTTATATATAGAGGCAAAACAAACGGCAACTACAGGCAGCATCGTAGAACTAAGTCAGGGGTCATCTACAAAGTCAATTGAACCTGTCACTAGAAAAGCGTTGTCACATCTCTCCTCCGAAAACATGCTGAGCTTCTAAACACTGCTGCTGGGCTGAATACGTAGGGCATACGGAATTGCACAACTTATTTTTTATCCTGCGGCACTAACTAACCGAACTCTTTTCATTGAGAAAATCTTTTTTCATGGAACTATTTATTAAAACAAGAGAGGGAGGTAACCAATTAAGCGAGATAAATTCGCCGAGGGATACTGCAAATGATTATTACATAAAAGATAGAATATTGAAGTACACTAAATACATTAACATTTTTAGATTTATGATTAAAATCACTGATTCAAAAGAATGTTTGCATTTAAAATTAAAGAAACAACTTTCTTACAGGCAACGGCGTTGTCATCCACTTGCCATCACTTTTTGAAGAACTTTCCAAGAATGAAGCAAAAGGCTTGCAAAAGCTTGAACATCGCTTGNCTTATATACAGAGGCAAAACAAACGGCAACTACAGGCAGCGTCGTAGAACTAAGTCAGGGGTCATCTACAAAGTCAATTGAACCTGTCACTAAAAAATCGTTGTCACATCTCTCCTCCGAAAACATGCCGAGCTTCTAAACACTGCTGCTGGGCTGAATACGTAGGGCATACGCAATTGCACAACTTATTTTTTATCCTGCGACACTAACTAACCGAACTCTTTTCATTGAGAAAATCTTTTTTCATGGAACTATTTATTAGAACAAGAGAGGGAGGTAACCAATTAAGCGAGATAAATTCGCCGGGGGATACTGCAAATTTATTACATAAAAGATAGAATATTGAAGTACACTAAATACATTAACATTTTTAGATTTATGTTTAAAATCACTGATTCAAAAGAATGTTTGCATTTAAAATTAAAGAAACAACTTTCTTACAGGCAACGGCGTTGTCATCCACTTGCCATCACTTTTTGAAGAACTTTCCAAGAATGAAGCAAAAGGCTTGCAAAAGCTTGAACATCGCTTGATTATTTCCGATCGTGCGCATTTGGTATTTGATTTCCATCAACTGGTTGATGGCATGCAGGAAGCAGAGAAGGGTGGCAAGTCGCTCGGCACCACCAAAAAGGGCATTGGTCCGGCATATTCCAGCAAGGCTACACGTAATGGCATTCGTGTTGGTGAATTGTTGGGCGACTTTAACCTATTCACAGACAAGTAAATTATTAATAATTCCCTGATTGTTGTACTCTTAGAAAGCTGAGTTAGGCTTAATCATTTATTAATTTCAATTTTAGATTTAAATCAATTGTTGCAACTCATTTGCGACTTTTTCCTTCGATCAAAATCGATGTTGACGCTGAGATAGCCAGGTACAAGGAGTATGCGGAAAAGGTGCGTCCTTATGTAAAGGACACAATTTGTTTCTTACACACTGCATTGCGGGAGGGGCAGAAGATTTTAGTTGAGGGTGCCAATGCCGCTATGTTGGACATTGATTTTGGCACGTATCCCTATGTGACCAGCAGCAATTGTAGTATAGGTGGAGTTCTTACTGGTCTTGGTTTGCCACCTCAAACTATTGGAGAGGTTATTGGAGTAGTTAAGGCCTATACGACACGTGTAGGCGACGGTCCGTTCCCTACCGAACAACTTAATGTAAGTATTTGATTACTTGTGAGTATTTGATTATTAACTATACGTTTAAAGGAATTCGGCGACCTGCTCCAAACTCGCGGCGCTGAAATCGGTGTTACCACAAAGCGAAAACGTCGCTGTGGCTGGCTCGATATTCCGTTACTCAAATATACGTCGCTTGTGAACGGATATACGAGCATTTGCCTGACAAAGCTTGATATTCTTGATACTTTGCCAGAGATTAAAGTGGCTGTGGCGTGAGTATAATAAATACTACGATACCCAAGTTTTGGAATTTAATTTCTCTGTTTTTATTAACACTTGTGTAGTTATAAACGCGCTAATGGGGAAACATTAGATCACTTCCCCGGCACTATTGCTGAATTGGCCGAGATAGTTGTTGAATACGCCACACTGCCGGGTTGGCAAGAAAGTACCGAAAATATCAGAAATTTTAAGGAGTTGCCAGAAAATGCACAAAAGTACGTACGCTTTCTAGAAAAGGAGCTGAATGTGCCCGTACAATGGGTAGGTGTCGGAAAAGGACGCGAGTCTATCATCAACATCCATTAATCTTAAACTCCCAACGTGTATTTTTGCGTTACTACATAATTGATTCAGTTGCACAGAAACTTCGTTTGTACTTTAATGATTTTTAAGGATTATGTTAATAAATATGTTTTATTTGTTTTGAGTTTTAATTCTAGAAATTTTAATGTATAACTTCTAGCACACAAATTCAAACCCAACTAAATAAAGCAGAGGCAATAGCGCGAACTACAAAGCATAATGTTAAAAAAATTTAGTTTAGTCGAAAAATAAATTAAGAATTGTGCTTTTTTATAAGTTATAACAAAGCCTTAAAAGATGCAAGAAAATTGTACTATAATACTTTAATTGTATAATTGTTTTGTGAAAATATACATACATACAATACTTATATAGAAACAAAACTGAAAATTATCTAAATCAAGGAATCAGTGGTGAATCTACAGCAGATATCGGTGGTATGCTAATTTAAGGTTGCAGTGAATAGAGAGTGATTCCCCCTATACTTTGGCCACGGGCAGGCAATATACAATCTTCATTCCCCTACGATGTTGCGACGCTCATTCTGAATCAGACCATTTCGTTAACGCAATGAATGTTGATAACACTCTTGGATATCTCGGCAAAGTCTTGTAGAGACGGTTTTCCGAGCGTGTGTAGCCGTCCTTCGAGTGTATTAATTTCATGAAAAAGCTTCTCATAAAAATAGAATTGGAGTCGGCGTAAAACCGTTGCCACAACAACCCCGCCCAGATCGGCTAGTTCCCAAGTCGTTGTCGTCGAGCTCTACCAACGGGAGACCCAAGTAGCGTGCAGCCTCTATAGGGCCCGTACATTGAGACATAGGCGTGAGTTGAGCAGTCTGCTCAGGTAGCTTCTTCGCTTTTGCTCTAGTACGTTTTTTAATTGGAGGAAAAGAGAAGACGCGCCCCTGTTACTCACTGTTCGATGTTCCTAGGGAGTTATGAAAATTCACGCAACTATACTAATACTATTTTCCCACGGCATTCTGAATTACTTTGTTCGCTCCCCCAATTACGATCGCGAATTACCCCATTCCCACGGGCACATTCTTAATTCGATTTGACAGTTCTCTGTCTCTGTGTTTGGTTTTTGTTTTCTTCGCTGGAAAATTTATGCAAAATGTAGGTTCTTCCTAAAAATTTATAAGTTCCCGTATTAAATTAGGTATATACTCATTTATAAACTTTACTTTTCGTACTCAGAAAAATGCCAGTTTTGATTTGTGGGCTAGTTTCGTAAATTTCTGATAAAAATTAGAGACGGCACCGATTTGTTTGTTAATTCGCATGGTAATTGGTTCTGAATTGCCAACAAAAGAGGTAATTCGCTCTCAAAATTTTGTATGGCGTATTTATAACGGTACAACATTAAAACTTCTTTCCTAGGTGGCGCTAAAAACGTACAGAGTGTCCAAATTAGCAATGACACATACCTCTCGTAATTGAAATGGGTAACAAAAAGAAGAGTTGATGAAATTTTTCTGGCTCTGAAATTGTATAAAAAACATTGTTCTAATAATGAATGGCGAGTGAAAAAACGAAAAAGATTTGCAGTCAATCAGATGGGAGGAGAGATTTAAAAACATTTCAAAAACCGGACTAAAACTATGTTCACATATCAATATTATCTCAATCAAAGCTAGTTTTTTAATCACCCCGTTTACACAGGCAAATTTCAGATTATTAACCGTCAAATTTGTTGTGCTTGTTATTCCCACATCTCAAGGAAAATTTATGTTTCTTCTCTGTGCCACCGTGATCACGTTTTTCTGCTATAATAAGCAATATAAATATATTTTAACTTAACATTTTATTAAAAATACCTTTACAAACCTCTTTTACTTGCTAGCGTACATTTTTGTTTACTTTTACATTTGGCATTTCTCCTCTCTTTCGCAAAAACAATCGATAAAACTAGGATGGACACCGAAAAGTTATCGGTTAAATCTGAGATTATTTTATAATTACAGATTAACAAGGGACGAATTTTATACGGCTAATCTCTTGTTATAATTACAGATTAGGGTGTTAAGCTCGAAAATGAGGATAATCTACTTATATGTGAACCTAGTATAAATCTACTCTTATCGGAGTTGGTGTCCGATCACTGGTAGTGAATGTATTCTCCAATTTTAACGATAATGACACACAGATGGCGGGAAAAACACAAGGCTTCGACGTTGATTTGGAAGGAAACGCACAGGGTTGCAAATTCGCAGGGTGCACTTGAGGATTATTTTTTTGTCATTCCGTTATTAAAAAAAACATTTTTTTAATGATGCATTTCCGAACGCCATTTTTCTGCAGTAATTCGAAAAAAATGTCGATGATGCATTTTCGAACGTTTTTTTTTTGAAGTATCCGGTTTTAAATTTTTAATTTAATTTATTCATTTCGTTTGCCTGCCGAGCCCTAATTAGCAAGTCTAATCTCCAGGCAGACATTATTGGTTGTGTTAATGCTGGTTCCTAGGTAGACAAAATTCTTCACTAGTAGTGAACTGCTCCAACTTTGTACGTGGTAGCCAACGTTATGTGTGTTTCAATATATTTTTTAAAAAGAACTTAAACTTTGAAATCCGCGACTGAGGCTGCGCTGCTATCCATAATCGACCAATTAGAATCATATGCACACTAGCATAGTTATCTATGGAAATTCATACGGCTTAATTAAACAATTGTTAACTAAGTATGTACTGTGCATATCGACAGCCAGCTCGAAAACATTCTATCTCAAAAAACTTTTCAAGAACGCCCTATTTCAGAATTCATTTCAAAAACTCCCTATCTCAGCTGCCGCATTCTGTGATAGGGCGCTCAACCAACCAAATCCTGATATAAGGTGTTTTTCAATAAAATTCTGAAATAGGGCGTTCTTGAAACGTTTTTTGAGATAGGGCGTTTCCGAACTGGCTGCCGAGATAGGTCGATCTTCCACTCAGCGGTCGATATGAAAATTGATAGTTAAACCTTTGTCAGTGGTTATCTTTGAATTTGGCTCTTAGACTTTGGTGGATATTTGGTGAACGAATATCGTCTACATTCCCAATGTGGAAGATGAGAGCCTCCAAAGTGCTTAGCTTTATAAATAGCTTAAAGTTGGAACGAGTTTTTAAGGGTGGACCAATTAATAAAGGCGGCTTAAATTCAATATCGCTGTTCCGGAAACCCATATAAGGCGAATAAAAATTCTTTTATGTGGGCTTTTTTATAAGGCGAATAAAAATTCTGCAACATCGCGATTCTGATGCTGACCAGGATCCGAATCGCGGTATTTGTGACCGAGAGATTTCTCGTTTCGAATCGAATGAAGCAAAGTGGCAGCCGTTTTCTCCACAATAAAATTTAAATCTCAAAATAAAATTTCGGATCGAGTTACGTTCGATATCGTATGCCGCGAATCGGGTCCAATTTCCGGTTAACTAACAATGACATAAGTATAGATGGCGTTGATCAATTCGACAATAAATCACTTGAAAACGTAAGTTTCACAAATTTGCTTTATTTACTCATTTATTATTTTCAGTGTTGCTGTAAATAAATTTGCAATACATAACATACATTTAATTCGCCACCAAAAGGATGCTACATGTGTGCAATTGTGCAATGATGTTTTCTTCATCATTATTCCATAAATTGTAGTATAATTTACTTCGATGTACTTTTTTATTTTAATTTCATTATCATTAACATTTAACGTCGATGTATGTGCATTGTGAATGCATCGTTAAAGGCTTGAGTACATTAAAGAGAATAGTACATGCATATGATATATAAAATCCGATTAAAAAAATACATCCATATTGGGTATTTTGCATAGAAATATAGAAATTCTGTTAAAAAAGATCGAGTAACTAACACATTTTGTAAGTGTGTGTGTGTGTGTGTAAAATTTATTGCTTACGCTGAACAGTCAACGATTTTTTAGTTTATACGAATTAGGTTCAAGAGGCTGCTTGTAGTTTTACGTTTTGAACTCTTCGCTGTCGTAACATCAGACTCCTTCAAATCCAGTGCGTCGCAATTTAAACTATGCTTTTTAGTAAAAAGTTTATGTAGTTCTTCAGAGTTGTGTATACATATGTATGTAGGTATACAGAGTAGGTTGTAAATATGGCTGACATGTGAACATTCAGTTTATAGCATACATATTATAAACACATAAACATCATACAAGTAAACATTTTATGTGGGCTTAAAAACTAGACTTTAATTTGAGTGTAATTAAATAAGTTTTCAATTTTAACATGCTCCATATAAATTTCATTTATATATTTATTTTTGCTTTATTATTATATATATGCATATGTATGTAGAATATAATATACATAGTGTGTATGGTAAAATTTAATTTGTAAATTTATATTTCTATGCGCGATTTTTCAATTGAAGAGTAGTGTATACTCTTTCAGTATGTATACAATTAGCATCAATAATATTCGCATCCTAAATACAAAAGAAATAGAATTGCGTTGTAGCGGTGCTGCGAAAAATTGCGAGTGATTATTTGGTCTTACCCTGTGAAATATGTACGTATGTATGTACGTATTGCGGGTAATCACAATCTCATTTCATGCACATTCACTAGAATGAAAATGTATATTGCTTTGCAGATAAATTTTACAAATGCACCGAAATATGCGCATGCCAGACCTTTTGCAGAATATTGTGATTACCCTTATTTTAGTAAATTTTTACAAGTTTTTTTTTTGTTTAAGAAATATAGCACCCTATGCAAGTAACTACTACCCTCGGTCCAAAAAATTGTTTACAAACTTTGATTAGAAATTAAGAAAATAACCGCATATTTAAAGATAAGCGAATATTAATGCTGCTTACTGTAAAATTAAACGTACATTTACTTATGCATGTATATCATTTTTCAACTATTTTCTAACACTAAAAATATACCTTTTGACTTGACATCCATATGCATACATACACATATACATATGTGAATCGTGAATTCGGATGAGTTTTAATACATTTAATGTATTTAATTTCCCTTCTTACAAACTATTTATCTTTACAACACAAGCCAAACCAACAAACTGCAATTTCTTAATTCCTTTTTACAAACTTAATATGAATTTATTTTAATTATTACTAAATAACTATTATAGAAAAACGAAAGTGGAAGCCAATTACTAAAAATTTTGTAAGAAAAATCACAAATCAATGTTACGTTCGAGCGTTCAACTTCAATAAACGTTTTTCAAGTTACATATAGTTATACATTTGTTAAATATACACCTCCTGCTCTTTGAAAGAAAGTGGTAATCAAAATTTTATTTATATTATTAAATACTAATTTAAATTAAGTTTGATTCACTTTTTTTTAATGTATGTATACGAATTCATATTAAAAACCCAAAGACTTACATACCATAAGAAAAGTATGTCAAATTTGTTTGCTTATAATATATGTAAGTAAGTATTGTATATGATGAAAAGGAAAGGATATGCACGAAGAATGCCAGAAAAATTCAAGTATAATATAGCTTGAAGCAAATCAAAGGCACATACAAATTTCATGAAAAAAAAAATAGATTTTGAAAAAATAAAATACTGCACTTAAAAAATGTGAGTTACCTTTTTCAAATTTTAGCTGCAGAAACTCAAAACCATATAGCGAACTTGCCCGGTAAATAATACTAGAAAAAAAATCCAATGTAAAAGGAAAATAATAGTATGTATACATACGTATTGTACATATACACATGTGGACAATCAATAGAGCCTAAATTTTTTGATTTCCTTTATCTCATGTGTTTCTCTTGCCAAGAGAATAAATAAATAAATATTCAATACCCTCCATCTGCAGTTCTCACAAAAAATTGTTTCTGATATTTGCATACATCTGCGACTTCAACTTTGGTATTATTTTAAACCCTAAGGATAAGCCTAAAATAGATGCTTATGTCAGGAACTAGTTTTTGTTAAATTTGTAGATTTTTAGAGGGTGTTGAGTATATGACGTCGATATTGTTTTCTTGCTGTTATAAATTTCCAGTAATTGAGCTGCAGTGAAAAGCCAAACATTCTAGCAAATCAAATGGTACCAACCTGCTAGTACATCACTGGTATGGTATGTGTTAGAGCGGCGACCTACCAGTTCGTTCGAGGTGATACTTTCTGTTATGTGAAAAACTAAAAAAAATAGTTTAAGTTTAGCTGCATTGAAAAAGGATTATTTCAAAAGAACCACACAATTTATTATTTTCTTGGCTCTATTTATTTGACCACATATTATTTGCACAACCACGCAGAATTTTGTAAGAACAAAAAACATTAATTTCAAAATAAGTTTGTATAACCATACTTGAATATTTCGCCCTCTAGTAAATTTCGTTTAAGAGAGTACACTCATACTTTCATTGCTTAAATTAATTACACTTAAATTACGTATTCACAATTATCATGAAACATTCAACATTTATCGTTGACTGGTTTGCCGTTAATATTTATTTTCTATCTCATTGCTTCACAATTTCACTTTATATGCTCTTACGTTAAACCTATTTTAGTCTGCACTTACTTAAACATTTAAATGTAATGTCTACATATTTTTTTTATACGTAATAAAGCCCTTTTCGCATGCATTAAACAAAAATTAAATTTGTATATTTCTGTTTTGTTTGGTTTACCACAACACAACAGGTATCATTAATAAACTAATACAATACATCGAATAGTTCATTTCACTATTAAAAACAGTTCAAAAATATATAAACAAACAAAATTTAGTGTAAATATATAAGGCAACGACGAGTGTAAAAATATTACATTTACTTTTAAACTATGCGCATATTAACCACAAACACGAATAAAAGTTTGCGAGGGAATAAGAAAGAGTAGTAGAAGAAAACTAGGCAAACACTTTAAAGATTACAAACTTATTACAATTTCAAGGCGATACAGCATGCAGGTTATGTGTTTTCAGCATTGACTTGCAACATGAAAGTAGACGCTGAAAATAGAATTAAATAAAACGCTATTAAATAAAAGTTGAAATAGATTAATACGAAATTAAGATAACAAATTATACATTTCAAAAATTATGTTTGTACACACATATACAGTATTCGAACAATTTATAGCCGAACCACATTTTGGTAAGTTTTAGCATATTTTTTTGTTATTTAATTTTGGTTACTTTTTATTAAAATATAGTTCATTCTTTAACAAAACCCGTGTACATCCAAGTTTGAAACTTTGTGAAATTTCAAGCTATTTTAATTAGATTTCCTAGAAAGATTTTTAGTATACAGTTTTGCCGCCCATTGAATTTTAGAAGACTAAAGTATAAAGTTTCAAATGTGTAAAAATTAACGTTGATTTTTTTAAATTTATTTGTCCCATTTGCTTCCATATAACGAATAAACACCCTATTTTTATATTCAAGAAAACTGTAACATCTTCAACAAAAAAATCAATGGTAAGTTTTAGTTATTTGTTGATTTTTTTTTTTTAATGTTGCACAAAGTAGTCACAGAGTGGTGTTGTTTAGAAGTTTGAGTTCAGCCCAATAAAAGAATTTCCGAACAACACCACTCTGCACCTGCCAAAATGTACAAATCTGTGCAAATGCTTTACATTTATGAACATCTTTTTTTATTAGAAAGAACTGAATTTGTATAAAAAAATAACCAAAAAATAATATGTTAAAACTTTATGTACATAGTACAAGCGATCTAAAAATTTAGAGCTTGTCTTTGATATTTTAAATATGTTTCGAACATTTATTAAAGTACATAAATAGTTGCGTGAACATTTACATATTTAATTTAAATTACATTTATTTTTAGCTACATATGTATATTTTTGCTAGGTAAGAGTACACGTGTGTATGTAATATGTATACAATGACATCAATTTTCAATTGGATCAGCACTTGATTAATTTGGTAGTTATGCATACATACATATGTATGTACTTATCTAGGGGATCCGGAAGACGTGTTAAGCGTCGTAAAATCTTAAGCTTATCATTTGTTTATGTAAAATAACGGTTAAAACGGTTTCAGGGGGTTTCTAATTATATATTAATTTTATCTAAAACTATTGTAATCATTATTTATTATTTTACATAAAAAAATTTTAAGTTTAAGATTTTACGACGCTTAACACGCCTTGCGAATCTCCTAATAGTATAAGTTATCTTATTGTAAATTCGTAGATTACTAGACTTTAGGGTTTTACCTTAAGACAACAACAACCACTTGCCATCAGGTCAAAAATGCATCGGTATTCGCTACATTACTCCTCTTCATACATACATAATCTCTTTGTTATGCACTCAATATTCGACTAAAAACCACCAAAAAACATAAAAGCTTTGTGTACGCCCATTCAATAGTGTTGATGGAAATAATTAAGCTGATAGAAAATAACGCTGATTTTTGGCATTGTTTTTGACGGTGTTGGGCATTCTCTTCCATATAAATATTTTTTTGAACATACTTTGTATGGGGAAAACAGCGTATCAATGGTATTTTGTAGCTACTTGAATTGGCTATGAAACTGCATCCCTAAGTTTTCTCAAAATTTTGAATAAAAAGGTTGAAGTTTTGTTAAAAATGCGTTGAATTTTTATAATTTTTGTACCTACAAAGTTTGAAATGTGCATTTATATAGTGTTTGTTGTACAACTAGCTAGACTTTTATAAAAATAAACATTAAATAAACAAAATAAATGTAACCAAAACTCATCAAAATAAGTCGAGTCTATTATTTCTGCCACCAGTGTAAGTGAAAAAGTATGTAGGTAGTATATTTAGGTTATCGACAGTCCTTGTAAGTTCTTATATACACCTTAAATCAAAAACGTCACAACTCGAAAGTTTTTCCAAATTGATTTCTTCTTATAAAACGGTTCACAGAATATATTTCTTTACATCCTGTAAAAAAATTAAGTTAAACAAGTTAGTGTATTTATACAAAAGAAGTTAGTCTGCTTTACACTATTCTAAAGATTTTTGGCTCAAATGTGACTTTGAAGCTCACTTTATTTTCGCGCAGAAAAAGTGATCATTTTGACTTTTTATGCACTGGTTAGTCAGGATATTTTTTTCGAATTTATAGCCTTTCCAAATGCATAGGGGTTATTTTAAGACTTTCATGGATGGGCATTTTTTATCACCCACATACATAAATACGCTGTATTTTTAGCACGTCAGTAAAATGCATACTATGTATGTAGATGTTTCATCTATTCTTCAAATATGGTTAACCGACGAAATTTTTTGCCAAACGACTCGTACGCAATATAAGCAGCTCACACTATAAGGACAGTCTCATTTTGCATCTATATTTTTTGATATATTATTTTAATTAACACATTGTCCTATTTCTGCGTTAACTTCGTATCTGCAATAGTCATTCAACATAGAGATTGTAAGAAAAAATTTGTAATTTTCTTCCACTAGGATACAATAAACGAGCTATATACCTAATATTTTTATTCAGCTAAACCTAATGAGCACCCACTTAAAAGTTTTTGTTTTATTTTAAAAGCTTAAACTGTGTTGTAATTAGCTCTCGTAAAAAATTGATATATGTGGTTAACGCAGAAAGGCGAAGATGTGTATGTGCATATGTATAATGACATATCGATGGCAGAGTGGAAGATCGACCTATCTCGGTAGCCAGTTTGAAAACGCCCTATCCCAGAATTTGGTTGAATAACGCCCTATCTCAAATGAAAATATATTGAAAATGTGTGCTGAGATAGGGCGTTTTCCTTCATCCAAATTCTGAGATAGGATGTTTTTCAATTAAATTCTGAAATAAGGCATTTTTGAGAAATTTTCGGAAATAAGGCGTTTTCGAACCGTCTGCCGAGAAAGGTCGATCTTCCACTCAGCCATCGATATGTAATAATATGCCTTATCAGAAATTATTTCATTTGAGAAAATCTATTTCATGGCAAAAATAAGTTTATCGGTGTTAATGTAACAGCATAAACACTACCCTTCTCAGTTGCATAGATCAGACTGTCGGTCGGGTATCTGTGTTTAGGTTATTATTTAACTTTGCTTAATTCTTTTTTATAAGGAATTTTTAGCAGTTTAGCTTTTCAAGCTTTAATTTTTAAACGGTAAGATTTACTAAACGGTCGAATAGTAGTGAAGCCATTACCTATACACTATGCCAATAACTCCAATCAAAGTTTCCTTAATAACTAAGCTAAACGTTTGCTTATGAATATTTAATATTTTTGCAATTTGTTTACATTTAGTTTTTTGTATAAAATCACATTTGAAGCTACATAGTAAAAATTGTACTACAATTACAATTCGTTTACAGCCGATATTTTCACATCCACTTATGCAAATAATAACATTTATGGTTATTTATTTATACATATGTACATCAATTGTGTACATATACTTACGAGCCAAAAACAAGTAAATCACTCTTTTGTAATCGTAATCATAATTTTCATGATTACCATTACTGTAATTGTAATCTTAAAATTTTTAGGATTAGGATTACTATAATCGTAATCATAAAAGCTACGATTACGATTACAGCAGTCGTTATCGTTAAATTTTAAGGATTAAAATTAAAATGATCGCAATCAAGCATGTTATAATTACAAATTATAGTAATCGTAATGCTGAAAATTTTCGCGATTACAATTACAGTAATCGTATTCCTAGGTAATCAAAATGTAATCGTAATCATAAAGTTCCCAGCTCTGTTACATATAACATATAACCTCGAAATTTCAAAAGCCCAATAAAAATTAATTCGCCGAAGCAAGAAAAATGAAGACAGCCTTGTAATCAGGAAGCCAAAACACACCAGATACACTTTTCCAACCTTCGTATATTTTTTTTTGCTGTTGTAACGTGTAAACTATAAAAATCTTTCCGAAATCGTATCGATTTCAAATCGTACGAATTTCAGAACATGGCTGTATATCTATAGCTTTGTTTCTTTACACTTTATCACTAGTTTCTGCTGGAAAGCTTTCTTAATCAAAAAACCTAGCAGAAACTAGCAGCTCTCTCTCTCTCGCTCTTACGCTCTCCTTTTTTGGCCTCTCCTGGAAGTAAAATTTTGACCAGCATAAACTGACAGCCAGTGTTGCCGTTTTAGCCCTTTGGTGGCTAGATTTAGCTACCACATACTTTTTTTTGGCCACAATTGGCGAATTTTTAAACTAAGAAAGACTGATAGATATACATATGTATTGTATGTCTACTGTACATAAGTTGGCTATGATTACTCGGCCGTGCTATCATAGTAGCACAATGCCACTCATATTTGACTTACAAACAAACTACGGGCAGGAATTTCAAGATTTCAACCCTGTTTTTATGAAAAATGTTATTTTTATCAGTATTTTTCTTTTAATCAAAATATGTTGAAATAAGTGAAACTAAAATAAAATTTTGCCAGAAAAATCCTGGCTACGGGCCTGCTTCTAATATTTATATGAGTATTAAAATCGGGGTTTTTTGCTTAAAATTTACTTGTTTTTTAGTTTTTTTTTTTGGTTTTGTTTTTTGTCAGTCATGAAATCTTCTTGCTTAAAAGTCCTTCACAAAAAGCAAATTTCAGAGTCGCAGCCATAAAACTGGGACACAATTTTCTCTATTTCTCCTAAATTTAGGCTCATATGTACACAATATCAGTTGACCAAATTGTGAACAGTATCGCAATCTCAGCTAAAACTGAGAATTATAGTTAAAATTTTACCATTCCTGCGCTGAAACTTTTTATCGAATTAGCAGAGTATCACAAAAATTGTTTCTCAATATTCTTGGATGCGGATAAAATGCAATACATACATATGTATCGTGGCGTGGACTTAAGTAACTACATATGTATGAGAATTTCCTTTTAGTGTATTTATTGCATATAAACTTAAAGTTACTTTAATTCCAAAACAAATACATACCATAATGTAGTAACAAGAAATGATAATTGGATATCCTTCCGTCCCCAGGAAGGATTTGTGGTTTTTAATCCATGATTCCGCTTAAATTCCAGCATGCACGTACTACGTATATGCAAAACCAGAAGTTCAGCAATATTTGAAAATGCTCAGCATCGTCGGTGATTGAAATGGTCACTTGGCCGTATTGGCTAGTAATGGACGTCGAAGGATATTGTTAATGCGCATATCTCACTTATTTGGTGTGGTTGGATTGTGGTGATGGGCGTGGTGTGCGCGGGTTATTACTAATAGCTATTTGACTATACTTATGTATACATATGTAATTACTTGCTTGCTGCTAGTGAACTCATGACTATGAAACGAAGTAATGCATTTTCCAACCAATTATAATTTTCATAGCTCTTTGATGGCATAAAAATCAAATGTGTGTTCATATTTTAGTATAATTTATTTCCCATGCGTACTTTTTCTGGCTCAGTTTCTTATGGTGTATATAAGTGTATATTTTCATGCGCGCGTGTGTGTCTATCCGCATCCATCAATATAAAATTGAATCAAATTCAGAAATAAAATTGTCACTAAAATTGAGAAAAAAAAGAAAAATTTAAATATGAATACATACATATATGAAACACACAATATACCACATATAGTATGTATGTACAAATGTTGGTGCATAATACGACATGAAATCGAATTTACTACATAGAATTTTGATAGTTGATGTTAAATAAAGAAATGCATTCAAATATGTATGAGTATAGCTCAACATGCAGTTGGGAAGTAAAAGTGTAGATAAAGAAAATTATAAATTCCGAGTACATATATTCATGTCAATATCATATCTATCTATACGAAGTGAATCTCTAATTTGGCAGGCAATATTGCCATCAGCATGCAACAATAACCGGCACAGTGACGTGATTAAATGCACAGCACATGCATATTCATGTAAATATGTTTGTGGTTTGTGTATGTTCTTACAACAATACTGTTGGCATGCATTACATATTAGATTGTCGATAAACAATTATTTTGACGCATTTAAGCTGTCAATGAGCAGTGGCATACATACATACATATATGTTTGTACGAGCATACACAGGATGTATATTACACAGAATTAAGTATGAATGTACATAGTTGTACTTATTGTAAAATGTTTGAAGGTTTTAGTGTTCACACAAATACACACATTAACGGTGCTTCAACCAAATAGTATTTTTTTTTTGGATTTTATTTATATATTTTTAAGTGCTTCGTTGTTTAAATGACAAATTACATTTCTTTTTTAATGTTCTGTTTTCTTTCACTTTTTATCTTTCCTAACAATACTCGGAAATGTATGTGGATAACGCGTATCTGCCTCTCTCAATTCTAAATTTTTTCCCATTATGTATTTCAAAATCATTTTTTGCATGCAGCAATCTTTCTTCTTGCTTTAATAGCTTATTACTTGACGAATCCATTGATTCCATTTTCTAGTAATTAGTTGTTTGTAAACATTGAAATATCTGTGAGCTATTTGCCAAATTAGGTGTTCGAATCGATTCATTTCGGTTTGGTTCAATTAGTTTCGTTCTGACAAGCAGATAGTATGAATGTGTGTGCGTACTCATAGATGCGTTAAGTTGTTGCTCTGCGATCTAGATAAATGCAAGCAAAATATTGTGTAATCAATGCGTTATTCGTTATTCTTATAATTAATTTTGTATATAAATCAGCACAGGGAAAAGGCTATAATATGTGATAAGAGTTAGATAGATAGTTGGTTATAGCACTGTGACCGGCAGGTCTATTGTGCCAGTGATAAGAGATGTATTAAAAGAGTATATATGTACATATGTAAGCACTGCAGTCAGTATTCACTTCCATAGCGAAACAGCTAGGCAGCTTTTATGAATTAAAAGAAAAAAAAATTGATATAGATGGCAATACTTTTTTATTAATTATTATTTCTTTTTTAGTTTCATCATTGTGGCACTAATGGATGTCGAATAGGAAGTTTTTTTTAATGAAAATGAGTGAATCTTTTGAAACGGCAACGACGTTTTTGCATAAAAACAACAACTTTGAATTTGATATGGATTATGAAAATGTAAGATACAAACCTAAAGAAAATGAGTGGAAGCATGATATTAGCCTACGCAACACCTAGTATGTAGTATGTGTATGTATATGTAATATTTACGACAATGTGCAAAAATAGCGACAATAAGACTGTATGTACGTTCATGAGTTAGTGATTTTTAAAATTATTGTTAAAAATTATGGCATCATAAATTGCCATAAGTGAAAAATGTGAAGAAAGTGAGCACAAGTTTTCTGCTGGCCTGTAGTATTCGAAAATTGTTTGTAATGGATTCTTAAGCAAATTTAGGAAACGTGAATTAGTGTTGACAACAGCGGTGACTACAATGTAGTATAAATATGTATTGAATTCATTGCATTGCATTCGTTGCTGCTGTGTACATACATATATATATATTTGCCTTTATTCAGCAATTTTCCGTAATAGCATTTAAAGCAACCAATTATATGCCAAATCGTGTAAAAATTAGTTAGTGGATAATAAATGCAGCAGATGAATGTTTGAATAGTGATTTGTATTAATCAGTCGAATGGCTGTGATTTGACTAGCCACAATTCGCTTGGATTAAAGTGAAAAAGTAATTGTACAAAAAAAAAAACATAAAAAATATAACAGAACAGCAACAGTATAGCACGTTTGAAAATTGTAGTGCAACGCTTCAAATAAAAAAAAAACCAAAATATATTCGAAAACAATGAAAACGAAATTTGTGTAACGAAAAAATACCTGCTTAACAGTATTGAGCACATATGATATGATGCACTCCACTAAGCAATTGACCATTACACCAATCACTTATACATTGCCTTTATGCAGCCCACCCATTTCAGACCATAACGTTACTCCAATCGATGTCGTCAAGACTATAACTATCGATATATGGAAAAAGGATAGTTATTTTTTCGTACAGGGGATGTGAGAGTAGTTGTGTGTAGTGATAAAAGGTAGTGGATGCACAGTTGACGAGAATTGTAGACGAAAGTAAAGTTGTCGGAGACAGCCAGAAGAATCGGAAGAAAAATAAAATAGACAAAATTGTGTTCAGTTATATTGAAATAAATCATATACTTATACACAAATAATCTTTTTTGTTAATTCTGTTAAACATATCAACAATTTCCAAATCGGCACAGTCACAAAACTGCGCTGACTGACCTCATTTAGCTTTTGATTAAGACAAGCAACCCAATGCAAAGGCACCATTAGTGATTTATGCTAAAAGCTGCAACACCATCAATAATTAAAAAAAAAAAATATTATGAACAGGTTCATTTCCAAAGTATTGCGATCTAGTTCTCAAATAGAGCAAAGCAAGGTTCGATTATAAAGATAATGTTAAAAGGTTTAAGCAAAATACAAATCTATACATAGTATATTAATAAATAAGCAGTTGCTGCGAAACAAAAAGTTGTATAAAACCGAAAAGCAACGAAATCATTTAGAGGCAAAGCTATTGTTCAATTCATATGTGAGGAAACTTACAAACTAATTATCCAATCTTTATTCTGCATGTTGTCATTTTTCAAGCATTAAGAAATGTCATCTGTTGTCAAATGTTTTCTAATAATATTGCACACATTACAGTTTATTTTTAACCGACTTCGAAAAAGGAGCAGGTTATCAATTCATTGGAATATATATTTTTTTTATGTATTACCGCATAAGTTTAGACAACGTGAATCGGCAATTCATTATTATCGGAAAGGTGGTACCTCAAGGGTGGTCGGATAGTAATTTGGTTGTTTCGAATATTGGATCATGAAGAAATTACGGTGAGCATTGAAGTCAGTCAGGTTATGTTTTTACTTAAAAATTACTTATTACTTATGATTCCAATGATCCAAGCCACACTTTGAAAAAGTAGAAAGTGGAAGCTAAATGTAGGTAAAATTTCTTCCCATTCAGACACAGGTAAGTATTTTTATGATAGCGACATAGATATCACTTTTCACACCATTTTCAAAATAAGTTTATCCGGGTGTGAAAAAGGATAAATATTTGGATTTTCCATATTTATTTGAAAATTTAATCGTATTAATGACACTTGGCGCATTATTTGCATTATTGCAATATAACAATTTAAATTATACAGCAGGAACGCAACGATTTGGTTTGCAGATAACGCTGATTATCTCAAATCAAAGCCGAAATCGCTTCGTCAAATTTATTTAAGGTGACATTACAATGAAAAGCCGACGACGATTCAGGCAACGTTTTTCTGTTGTTGTCAATTTCCATTAAATAAAATTTATTCTGCGAAAAATATTGGTATGTTCAACAACTGAAAACTCTATAAATTGAGGCAAACCGTTGCGACAAGCAATACAATATGCAGTTTTTCTTTGCGTTCCCACGACAGTCGGGTCTACGTAACCGGAACGACCCAGATTTATATATGGCCAAGGTCTGTCACTCCAGCAACACTCCACCAAAGACTTTTTGGTGAATCTGTATGCTGTTACAACAACAACAAAAAATTCTTTTGATATTGAGGTAACGGTTGCGGCAGCAATTTCTATGAGAAACTAGACTACTTACGAAGTAATATGAATAGGTTGGCTAAACTGTTGCATCGTCTGTAGTCAGCATAATATTTGAAATGCAAAGCAAATTTAAAATATTATTGCTGTGAGGGACGGTCTTACTTTTTGTGAATAATTTTTTAATTCAGCAGACTTTGTAGTCATAAAATTTGGAAAAGCTAAAGATCGACAACATTCTAATGTTTAATTAATCTTTAGTTGCTACACAAAAAAATGTCAGCACATATGAATTGACAATAATGTTCACACACTATAATGATCCTTAAGTAATTAAACAAAAAATCGCAGCATTTATGTAACTGAAATGTAGAGTTTAACTGAAATCTATTGTAAAATTAAAAATTTAGATAAAGCAGCCAATTTTGTGTATACTCCATACTCTATTTTAACTACTACAACAAAATGGTGAGTATAAAATTTAGCAAAGAACAAAAACCATAAAACCAAACATTTTATTCAAAACAAAGTAAAGAATTCGTGGTATTAAAATAGCAACAAAAACTCACTTTGGCATAGGTATATCTTGCGGCTGATGCTGTGGCGTACCCACTACAGAGCCACCCTCTATGGCCGGTACATTAACCCTTATATCACTTGCTACATATCCATCTCGCGTTGTTTTTTGTTCATCTAGAAACAATGTTAGTATTATTATAGTTTATTCGGTATATGCATAACGATAATTTAACGCTTTAAATGTTTTACAAATAAAATTTGATATTTACCAACATGATGTGAGTAAAAGCTACCGAATGCCTCATCACGTGGCAAATTCTTCGGATAAACAATACGCAGCACATTCAAGTCGTGTATGCGATCCGCCAAACAGCGTATATTCAAGTCTCTTGAGGTCCACGGCGCCAGCATCAGCTTGTTGCCCTGATCGTCGACAAAAGCCACAGTTATACCACCTGTAAGTGAAATATGTTGACAGTTTATATTTTGCGAAATCATTATATCAGTCAGCGTATTACCTAGTTCGCTATCTGAAAAGCGCAATAAAAATGTGCCATACTGTTGCATCGGCAGGATTTCCTCCAACGTCTTGCGTTTATTTATGAAACCAACAATTAAACCCTCTTTCCAAAGATTTAATAAATGATCCTTTGTCAATTTCATTATTGCAAAGAACCAATCCCAGAATGTAAAAGATCGGTCTGGCAATGGCTCTTTACAAAATTGCGCCCATGTAATGAATTCAGTATGCTCGCCGGCTTCGTTGCGGAAAAGTTTCTCGTCTAATATAAAAAATGCAGTTAATTATTTATAAGGTTCAACAAGTACAGAAAAATCAAACTCACAAAGGAAATTCAAATTGTCTTCAGTTAAATTTCTTCCGGTAGCCGAGCCAAATTTGGTATTCAGCGCTGCTGATAACTGCGCCCAGCGTACTTTCTCTGGAACTTGGAAAGGTTCGCGTGTTATATCTGAAAATGCATTGTCCCAAGTGATAGTGGCCCAGGACTGGGGCTCTTGATTGCCATGCACAATCACAACAACGGGCAAGGAAAGTGTCCAGCACTGAAAACAAAATGAAAATTACATAAAAACGATTTAATATTAGACGAATTTCGCTATATATTCAAGTAAATAATTACACTTATTTTGAATTCATTGAAAACCACTGTTGTGTAGAAGAGTAGGGAGAATTTTTCATCCATTACGCTTTCTGTTCCTTTCTTTTCGGCGCGCTTAATTTTCTTTAATTGCATATTTCTGCAAAGAGATTTAGAATTATAAAGAAGATATTAGCTACTACCACCTTTTCCAGTTAATGAACAAATGCAAATAGTTATACCTAAAACTTGCTGAAAATACGCGTGTGGCTTGCTGATATTCCATTGTGCTTATGTTATTTATGATTTCGCCGGACGATTGGGGTGGAGAACCAGGTTGCATATCAGAATTACTGTTATTTGCTGCATGGCGTTGTGCTTGGGCCTCTGAAAAAAAGCCATTTTGTGAAATAAATTGTAAATTAATTGTTTTTGCTTTTACAGATAGCCCCTTTAGCTAGTCAAATTCAAATACTAAAACTTGATTTTGATAGCCAGTATCTTACCTGAAAGTATAACGCATTCAATTACTGGAGTGTTCGTATATACGCCAAGTTGTGGACCAATCAACCATCGTACAGCTGCAGCGAATCTATAAATTTAATTTTCATTAACCGTTTTCTTTTATAGTTACACAAGTATGCATTTGGTTTCCGAGAACTAACCTCGTTTGTGTTTTCATTACTTGAGGTGGCTGCCGCTCTACAATAAACGCCGACAAGACCAGTAACCTTTGTACAGAACGTACATGGTTGAGCATCTCAGCCAGTATCGGGTCCTCAGTCTCACCCATGCTCATCAAGATCAGATTGTTGACAAAAGCGTGAATTTTGGAGACCATATCGACCAACATCTCTACGCAGCGTTGTATATCATCCAAATTATCATGGAATGGCGCACCATTTCCAGCGAGCGCCTGATTTCGTTGCCACATTTTCAGTGCCATTATCACTTGATCTTGTATGGTGTCATATTCGCTGATTACGCGTCGTAAATCATCAACTACACCATTCTTGCGATTGCACAAAATCAGATATTGTTGCTTATACTGATTATCCAGCTCCTCCAACTCTTGTGGCGTCACCATTGCACGCGTTTGATTGAAATATTTTACCACAGCTTCCTGTTCGCCTTGCAAACCTTGTATGGCCAAACGCATATTGTCAACATCGACTGCCAATTTTTGTATGCGCGCCGGCAAAGCATAAGTATCCTCGGTCATACGTACATCAGCAAGGTGAGCGCCGACGCTACCCATATAGGGATTACCCGTATTCATACCCATCCCATTACAACCTACAACTGCCGGATTATACATGTAGGGATTTTGTGGCATTTCCTTCAATGCCTGAATTTCACGGAGCAGACCGTTACGAACGTACGTATAGAGCTCAATGGGTGTTGTTTGTCCAAGATGTGTGCAAATTTCCCGTATCTTAAATTTAAACAAATTATCACCATCTAAAGTAATGAGCTTCTGCTTGAGGCCCTCGTAGAATGAGTTAACTAATTGTTCGAAAATTTTATCGCTAGCCGGGGGTTGTTGTTGGCTCCTGTAAGACAAAACATTTTAGTTTATATAATACGCGATTCCACAATTTAAACAACAAACATATTTGAAAATAGTATCCCTGCAGGGAAAGCTGCTTGTTGCGAACTAGAATGCTACGGGCATAATTGTTTTTATTTTTTTGACTCTTTAATGCGGCACTGATCATAACAACTATTATATGTTAATAAAAAACTGCTGTGAAATTTTAAGCAAGCTGCTTCTTCATTAGTTTGTGTTTGACAGCCATTGAAAGCGGGCAACCTTGTGAATTTCGGCGAAAATAGAAAAATGTGAATTTCATGCGAATACATCCATGCCTAGGGCTACGAAGTGTTATCTCATGCAGCATATGCTCCCGATTTAGGTGTCACCAACTTTTTCTCGTGTGCAAACCCGAAGAAATGTCTCGCAGGTAAGAGTCAAGCGACGCCATGGTAGAAAATCGCGAGAACACCAAGTAGGTGGTGCGTTTTCGTTTGGGCTTCGGAAATTCAAAAAGGTTATCACATAACAGAAAGTTTTTCGAAATTACCGAACAGGTGGCCACCGCATCGGCTAGTACCAGTTAATTAACTAATCGGTTTCTACCAGTTGATCTTTTTGAATGTTTACTGACAGGCTTGGCTTTTCACTGCAAGAAGACATTGATACATTGATTACATATCAACAACGCAAAGTAACATATAGCAGGTTTATTGTATCGATCGTTTCTTCTTCTTCTACCCAAAAATAGTTGAACCAATATATGTCTAACGTAGTCTAAGTGCCTCTCATACGCGCAAATACTAAGGATATGGCAATGAAAAGGCAACATTTTTTGTATGCTTTTATAGTTGGTATAAAAAAGAAAAAAACAATAGATAGAAAGACGCATACCAAGCCCTAATCTCGAAAACAACGTAAGCGACCTTTTTCCCAAAATTTAATTTATTTTTGCAGAAATGCTCCAGAGCATCAAACACAAATTTTGGAACCAAATGTCGCCGATATCTTCGCAATTTTTGTGGATTTAATTATCTGCCGACTGAACATAATCTCCTTATAAGCTTATTAATTGTATGATAAATATCCAAAAACATAAATTTTAACTTACTTCTCAATAGTATTATTAAACGTGAGATACATATGTACATGCAACATATATGTATGTATAATCATTTTCCAAACCATTTGATGAGCTCGAAGCAATGGAACAAGCTTAACGATTCATAGTGCGAATATATAGTTCCAAACAATTAAAAGCCCTTACATTAATCTCACAAAGAATCTAAATAACACATACACAAACGAACACACACATATACACATTCACGTTTATGTGAAAGTAGACATCTCTTTATTGAACCGCAAGAAATTGCGATAAGAAAAACAAAACCGACATTTCTTTAATTTTACTACACACACACAGCTTAATCTTGCACACTTTACACAAATATTTCATATTGTATGTATATTTCTTTTTCCATTTACAGGACGTTTCACCAACTTTACTTACATTAAAGTATCTTCAATCCATGCTGCGAATTGCACGCGTATTTCGGCGAGGCCCTTCCCATCATAGTACTGAGTCATGCGTTTTTCGAGCTCTGGAAAGCATGCGATACGCTTCCACAAACTCATTGTGGTGGGCGCTGAGTGCAATGAGCAACTTGTGAATTTATGATTTATATACCCTTGTCAAATCCTGCCTTCAAAATTAACTAGTGGACTTTATGCACAAACAAACAATGTATGTGGCAAATCGATGATGCCAAAACCGCATAAGACTTTCAATTTGGCTTATTATTATTTAATTCGATCAATTTAGAATATGCGTTGCCACACATGTGTTACAATTACGTCGATGAGGATGTCCTGCAACCTATGTATAAGTGATTGTAAGCGCATTAGTGGTTGTAGCTGTGGCTGTAGTGATAGTAGTGGTGGTGGTGGTGGTGTTGGTATTGGTAGTGGTGATGGTGGAGTTGGTGGTGATGCCCCTGCACGACAGTCTATGGACAACTCCAATGAAGGCACTTCACAAACGAAAATGTTTAGAGATTTGAGTGTCGCGCGCCCGAATGTGTTGATGAGTGGGTGAGGTGACCATATGTATTCTTTTGATTTTTGTATTTTTTTTTTACTTGCCAATTATCGTTGAAGCATGCGAAATTTATACAATTTTTTTTATAATGGAAAACTAAAAAAATGAGTGTGGAAAAAAGCGAAAGATGTCACATTAGAAAAGCGTATACATTACATATTTCAATTAGATTTTGGTCTAGGACAATAATAAGTAAATAAAATAAGTATTATATGTAAGTGTGCATGAGACTTTNAGATGTCACATTAGAAAAGCGTATACATTACATATTTCAATTAGATTTTGGTCTAGGACAATAATAAGTAAATAAAATAAGTAGTATATGTAAGTGTGCATGAGACTTAACCTAAAACAAATACATATGTACATATGTATGTTTGTATGTAGATAAATAATACTAGAGTTTTCAAAGCTAATTCACGGAATAAATGCTAGGTTTGTTAATCACATACAATCGTAAGGATAGCCACTGTTTTGTACCTTCGCCAATAGTTTCCGTTGAGTTTTAACCCTTTCGCGCTTGTCACGATTTAACCATTTTGCACCTGTTGGGACACTTACGTACCGACAGAAGCAGTTTTCTCATAACCACAATAGAAGTTGCGTATTGGAATTGGCTTAAATATGTCCCGCCTGGTATTTTGAGATTCAGATACACTCAGGCATTTGAGTTCTCTTCTGATAGTGACAGTGCGTGTTCACACAAGCACTTTATTGTAAAGTTTAATGAACTATTAAATTGCCTACAAAAATTTTTTCTGATTAAAAGGTTTGAAATTTTGATGAAATTATGTAGAATTTTCCGAATTTTTGAACAAAGTTTAAAATTTGGACTTACATGATTTTGTTAGATACTTTTATAAAAAAATAATAAAAATTAAAAAAAAAATCCAAACCTTTTTGAAATGTCGCGACCATATTAATTTGTCCGACACTGTACGTGTGTCAAACAGCGCTTTTAATTATTTCTGCGGTATTTTCATATTTGAACATTTTTATTTACATACATATCGACCCCTTTGCGCAAAAGTATCGTATGTTAAATTTTCTTACGAAATGCACTTTTTGATGTATTTTTGTTCTACACCCCATAACGCATCCACTGTTGAAATATCACGGCTTAAATCCCAATAGCTACCCCAAAAATTTACTGCAAATTTTATCGTATGTGACAATGAATTTTCTCTTGTGGGCAAATTTTTCTTTTGTGCTAAGAAATTAGAATGTGAAGACTCTTCTACGAAAAAATTTTTGTGTTTGGTTATATTTCTGAATTATCTCAGCAAGTTCAAACTGTAATATTGATGGTGCTAGCCAAAGCAGAGAAAAATACAAACCAAAAAAATTTCTTTTAAAATTTGGGGTTTGTAACATACGATAATTTTACGCGAAGGGATCGATATGTATGTACTTCCGTTGTGTCCCGGTAGCTTTATTTGTTGGTATGAATATTCATTAATATAATAGCTTGAAACGGCTATATTTCAATTATTCTCACTTCTTTACTGCACGGAGCCTTACCCTGTTCAAGCTGCAATTAGCCCTCCACATCGACGCAATTGTTAGTAAAGTACAGAACCGCTTTGAAGTCTCAAACACAATTGACCTGTGATTCTAAATTCAATTTGGTTGCCGCGGACTAATACTTAGCATCCAGTCGAAGAAGATATCGACCTGTCAAAATGTCTGATGTAGTCTGAACACTATCTACAAACTGTATGTTTGCATTTACAACGCACAACCACTGGAATGAACGTTGTACAGACCGGAAATAACGGTATCTAACGACAGACAATTACCAGCTTTACCAACTCTTGCACCGTGAATGCAGTCATCGGACCATTGAACACCTGCCATCGCAGACGAAGAACTTCAGCTGCCTTGAGAAACCAACGTAACTCTGGCCAACATTACGGTCTGGATACTGTGGCAGGTTAAACTCCTACCCGACATTTCTCATCTATATCAGGCCCGTAAAGGCAACTCACATGGAAGCGACCACGCCTTTACTTGCTGCCTTCAACAAAACTTCGCAAAAATCCCTCACTGAGCAATACAATTTCTTTCATCCTCTTCACAACAACTTAATTCAAGATCAATCAATTTTGATATCCTCTTTTGTGAATTAAACAATTAATTTTTAAGCAAAAAACTAAACTGACTTCAATTCTCGTAAACAAATTTAATATTACAGTTAATTTCTTCATGATCCAATGATCGGAGCTAAAACAAATTAGCATGAGACCACCTATCGTTAAAAAAAAAATTATATCGGTTAATGTGGCCCAACGAATTGGTAGCCTCCTCCTTTTTTTTTGAAGTTGGTTAGTTGAGCTGGACGACAGTGACTAATAGAACTGCCTGCCCTGCATAGGGTTTAAAGCGCAGTTACCCACGCACGTAAAAACGGAGAACGGATCAGCTGACACGATTTATAAAAATTTGTTTCTATTCTTTTTCTTTATTTTGTGAAATTTCTAGTCTGCGAAATTCCTAATGGTACGAAATTTTTTTTACATATTATTTAACCCACGGCAAAAACAAAAGCGTATGAAATTGAATAAGCTTTATCATCGCTTTAATTACGGAGAAATTTAAAAAGGATTTTAAATAACCACCTAATGAGTAATTTATAATGTACTTGTATATTTTGCTATCGATAAAGATACGCGTGTATGAATTTCTGGAACGAGTACTCGTATTAGCAAACACTCCCCGCGGCAAAGGCTTTTGGTGTACATTTCCAGTGGAGACCAC